GAGCGTAGTCAATGTCACTGAACTGTGCATGTAGAAATTTTTGAAATGGTGTATCTTTGGCTATGTGCATTTTCACCAAAAAAAAAGGTTGAGAACTTAGAGGGTTGACATGTTGTGGGGTTGTTAACCAATGTCATAAAACAATATGTGTACTGTTTGATAAGAAACTATTTGTTCTGTAAGCCTTCACCTGAAGTACAATAAAAAATAAAAGAAATGGTGGCAAGTGTGCATTGCCTCTCCTCTATGGTTTTCCCTTTTAATCCTACAGTCAATATTTTGCTGTGTAAATGGAAATATGTGTTGCCTAGAAAACTAGCATGTGGCTTGTTCCATATGCAAATGTTCTTGTGGATAATTTTTACCTATGACAGCAAAGATGGGAAGGACTGGTAAATCACAAGCATTCATAACCTTATTACAAATACATTGCTAATGTGAAAATGCAAAGTGTGGAAGTCATAAGTGTGAAGTGGCTTTCAATTTGTTTTAATAGGTGTTTTCTATGTCTTATTGTAACCTAGGGACCTTGCTGCAAGAAACTGCCTGGTAGGTGAAAATAATCTTCTGAAAATCAGTGACTTTGGAATGTCTCGTCAAGAGGATGGTGGAGTATATTCATCTTCTGGCTTAAAGCAGATTCCCATTAAATGGACAGCCCCGGAAGCTCTTAATTATGGTACAGATAGACTCTGTTTCTCCTTTTGGTGGTAAAAATGAGCTGTGTCAACATGAGAAATGAACAAGGAAAGTTACAGGGGTAGAGCAGAGCCCAGTTTAGAATGATTTGAGGATCAACACAAATGAGTGTAACTGTTAGTACACTGGAACTTGAACACGAGCACAAAATTAATTTACTGAAATTATTGATCAGATTTCTGTATGTAAGAGTACTAGATTTAAAAGATAGATAAGCATTTTAAAGTATAACTAATCATCTGAGAAAGGTTTTTCCTTTTCACCAAAAAAAAAAAAAAAAAAAGATTATTTTTATTTTAACAGTCAGATTATACACAGAGTAAAATCATTGCTTTGGCTCTGGACTATTTCTTTTAAATGTCTTATAATTGGTCCAGTAACCTCATCTAATGTTAGGTACCTAACATACGAGTCAATCAGTTCTTTAGTTTTTCACTCTGAAAATCGACATAGTTTCTTAGCATCTCAGTCTCTGGAACTTGTATAAATCTTGTGGAAAGAGGGAGATGGGAGTTAAATTTTAAAACAGCAGGGATTTTTTTGCGCTTGATTTTTATGTATCATTGTAATTGGAAATAAATACAGCATTATCTGTGGGTGGGATGAAATGGGCCACATCAAGATGGATAACAGCTCAGGAATTTTAAAAAAGACCAGATTGTACTTTAAGTGAAGCTAGAAATTACATTTTCAGTAAGGGCAGCAGCATATGAGCCCATGGGTTGGTGAACTGATGTAGTATGTTTTGAATAAAACTATAAAATGATGCTCTGTTGATTTAAAACTAAAAATTACTTCATCACGAAAATTAGCTTTTGAGGCATTTCTAAGGTAAAAGATAAAAGTTTTGAATGTGATTAGTAGTTAATTGGGGCCAATCCAGACACCAGAATCTATTTTGTAAGAATTCTGTGCACCAGCAACGCTATGAAATACGTAAGTGTAGGTAGTTGTCATCATGAGAATTGACTAAGCTATTGTAGTTAATAACAGTGAAGTTTTTGAACCTACCACTCTACAGATACTCATCCTCACCCTTAGTTTGCCTTCCCATGTGCCAGCAAGAGAGCCTTTTCTGAGCCTTCGAGTGATCACAAACCAATTCCACTATTCCTCAGAATCTACAGCCAGTAGCAGCCCTGCTATTTTCCATAGAGATTCTTCTCTGGGATGGTTGTTGTTATTACTCTGGGGCTATATTACTAAAGGAACAGTCACAGGACAAAAGATAGAATTGCAACACTTTGTATTTACACAGAAGTTTTATTTGTATGACCCAAAACATTTTTAAACCCCTTCTTATCGATTCTTAAAGCATCCCCGTAAGGGAGCTTTAGCTGGACTTGGGAGGCCCTACAGGCTTACCATTAAAATCCAAGTCTCCAGACTTTGTTCTTAACCCGGTTTGCCAGATTCTCTACATTATGTTATCGTTAAAAATCTTCTTACAGTTAAGCAACTACGCCAAGTAAAATTCTACCTCTCATAGTATATTTTAGCTGAATTTCATGTCTACTAAAGTATTTAAATATCTAATTTCTAATTCTAGATGCCTCTAACAGCTAGACCTAAAACATTTTAAATAATAAGGACAAGTATCAAAACCTTTGACAATGTAGGACAGTTTTTTAGTGGTCTTTAATATTAACTTTATAAAATGCAGAGCAACCTAGATGACAAAGACAGAGAGATTTTAGTAGTAGATGAGGAAGAGGTAATAGTTTGAAGTACTTATTACCCAATCCACTGAGGGAGTTCCTGAAAAGGTCTGCAAATCTCTTGGAAAAATTGTACCCTGAGAAGCTGTTTTAGTTCTCACAGCCAAAAGTACTGAAGGTTAGTTCTAAATTCTACCTTTTTTTTTAAGCAGAGAAAATATACATAGTTGTTTCATGAATGAAAGTCCCTGTTTATCGATATACTTCTTTCAAGTTTTATATAAATATAGCCATGTGATTGGGTATAAGCTGTTGCCTCTTCCAAGGGCCTTTTCTTCCCTATTGATTCTTTTCTTCACTCTTGTCTCAGAGTAGATGAAATATTGCCCAAGTCTCCATGAAGGATGGAGTCATTCTAAGACCTTCAGTCTAAGGAGCTCTGAAACTTTGGCTTAGAGTCATAGAATTAAACATATTTTCACCATTTTCTCATTATTGTTTGTTATTTAATGTTTGAAAACATAATACTAATACATAGACTTGGTTTTCTAAAAATCAAGCCATATTAAAGGGCCTGCAGTTAAATATAAGCCCCTCTTCCACCCCTGTGCCTAACCACCCAATTCCCCTTCCCAGAGATGAATTCACTTATCATTTGCTTATATTCCTCTCAGAGTTTTCTCAACTATTTATTTGTATATATACCCTACCTCCTTTTTTTAACTCAAAATGGTAGCATACTTTATAGGCTGTTCAGCATATATTGCCACCATCCTAAGTCATTGCTGTCACCAAGGTACTATAGGAAAAATAGGATACTGGTCTATAACTGAGGAATAAAATGACCTATTCATCAGTTATTAAAAAGAAATGTTTTTCATTTGTCACCTGGGAATTTTGGGCTAAAGCACTGTCTAATTTAATTAGTATGGTATAACTAATCCTCAGCTAGCCCTGTGAAGGAAGCAGGATTTGTAGTAAAGAAAGTTCTGGACCACCTGTCAGAAACCAGGCTTCACAACCAGTTATGTCATTAGTTGTATGAGCTTGGTAAGCCATCTTCTTCTCTGTACCTACATTTCCTAATTTGTAAGGTGAGAATGAGAGTACCTTTTCCTCCTACTGAGGTGTTATGGGAGCCCTGGTGGCATAGTGGTTAAGAGCTCAGCTGCTAACCAAAAGGTCAGCAGTTCAAATCTACCAGCTGCTCCTTGGAAACCCTATGGGGCGATTCTGCTCTGTCCTATAGGGTCGCTATGAATCAGAATTGACTTGATGGCAGTGAGTTTTTAGGATATTATGAGGATCAAATGAAAGATGAAAAAGTAGTAAAATACTATACAATTGTTTAAGTTACTTTTAGCCCATTAAAATTACCCAGCAAAACCAGGTTCAGTGGTCCAGGTAATAGAGTTAGGTTTTAAGCTTTTACTTCTGGAATGTGATCTTGGCTTTTACATAACTTGATCTCTGCCCAAATATTATCTTACCAAAAAACATATAGCCTCTATACAACTTACACTTTCTTAAAGAACTAATTACTCATAACTTATAGCCATTGAATAACTTTCATGAAAAGTATTAAATTACTGGATGCCAAACTTGAAAAGAATTGATTTGCAGACGAGAAAACTAATCTTCCTGCCAAACAGCATAGTCAATGTTCATAATTACTGCCTTCTAAGAAGGAAGTTAATTCACACAGCTGGAGATGATAATCAGTAAGTACACTTCAGACTCTGACGTCAATATAGTTATCATAGTGCAGGCATACTCTCATTTTAATTTTACTTTTTTCAAGAAAGAGAAAGGGCCATCCTACTTGAAAGTAACAAGCCATTTTTAGAGGAAGACTATTTATAAATACTAGAATGATGGAGTTAAGGCAGGAAGCTACAAGAGGGATAGAAAATGAAATCATTTAAGAAAGCTTTAGCACCACTGCATGCTGTATATGTAAAATTAAAACAAAAGCACAAACATGTTGAGAAAGTCTTGGAAATTCTAACCCCTAGGAGTTTGGGAAGGATTTCCTGCCTTCCTTCCTTGATTTCACATCTGTCTCCAGAAGACATTTTTTGTTGGTTTTTATTCCTGATTCTGTAAAAAAACTACCAGGAAAAAAAAAAAAAAAAAAACTCTTAAGAGTTTAGCTCATGTAGATCAGTAAAACAGGTGCACCAAGATATTTTGACAGAACAAGGCACCATGTAAAGTTGTTTTTATCAGCCAGTTATGTTAATTTCCACTCTATTCAGAACAGATAGAAAAATATATTTTCCATAAATGAAACTATCAGTGGAGAAAATGAGACCTTCGAGCATGCAAGAATATCTGTAAACAGTGATGAGTAAAAATTTGAAGTTAAGAAACTTTCCTTATTGCTTTAAGTTTGTTTATAATTTTAGTGGAAAGGAAATGATGCAGGCAAAAGAAAAAAATTGCAGGAATCCAGATTATTTAATCTCCTAGGCATTGATGTGTGCAAATTTATATCTTTTTTTTTTTTTTTAATTTAAACCATTCATCCACGGTAAGGCAAGCTTGCATGTCTTACGGTTTGTTCCTGGTAGGAGGAGAAAGTGATTTCAAAGCTGGTTTGGTTAAACTGTAGCCCTGGTGGCACAGTGGCTAAGAAAGAACTTGGCCGCTAACCAAAAGGTCAGCAGTTCGCATCTACCAGCGGCTCCTTGGAAACCTTATAGGGCAGTTGTACTCTGTCCTATGGGGTCGCTATGAGTCGGCATTGACCGGACGGCAACGGGTTTGGTTTTTTGGTTTTCGTTAAACTAGCAACTTGAAGATTGTTCATTTAATTGGTAATATTACTAAACCTGGAAAATGAAATTAGTGAGTAGAATAGGATCACTAGTTACTGAGTTTCTTTGTTAAGTTTAAAATGTGTTACTACGTGACTGACATAGACATATATAACCAGAAAAGTTCTCCCACTTGTCCACTGTGCCTCACTTGGTTATGGTTGTTGTTTCCCTCCAGGGAGATACAGTTCTGAGAGTGATGCGTGGAGCTTTGGCATCCTCCTCTGGGAGACTTTCAGCTTAGGGGTCTGTCCATACCCTGGAATGACAAATCAGCAAGCACGAGAGCAGGTGGAAAGAGGTGAGACAAAGCCGTGGGTTAGGATGGCCCACGTCCAGCCCTGGGGCAGTGCTGATGCTGTGTCTGATGGCTGTTTCCTGGGGGAGGTGCTACCATTTGAGTGCCTAAGGAGAGAGTAGGAAGAAGAAAGTTTTTGAGAATTTTTTGACCCTTCTGAAAAAACTGTGGTGTTCCCAGATTTGAGATGGGAATAACTAGGTGATGGTGACATTCTAACATGCAGTTGTGTAGGGCACAGTCTTAGCTTTTAACAGAAGGAATGCTCCAACAAATGGCAATGGCCTAGCATCAGACCTGCCAATGGGGTTGTTGTAGAATCCGGTGGAGGAGGCTGACTTTCTGGCTTCCTTCCTTCCTTCCCTCTCCTTCCCCTCACAGACATCACACTGTCTAAGCAAACACACACACACACACACACACACACACTACCCAACAACTGCTGTACAACCGCCTGACAACTCTGAATCAAAGATGAGATTTTTCTTAAGCTGTAAAAGAGTACAACTCATATTCATTTATATTCCACTTTTGAATTAGTGTTTATAAAATGCTCCCCCTGCCTTCATCTTCAAAAACTTAGGTTGTAGAGATGATTTTTTTAAAAACTCTGCCCACAGCATCTAAAAGCAAATTCTAAAAGCAACTAAAATGTGTCTAGTGTCAGACCTTGTGACAAGCAAACAGCAGCATCAACAACAAAAAAAAGCCTCTTGTGAGCTAGACGCTAATCCTGTGGCTCTGTAGGATTAAAGTCTGTATCCCTATAGGAAAAAAAAACAATTTTGTCATGAAATGGATTTTTTGTTTCTATTGCACCTACACCATAAGGTACTAAAGTTTAAAAACTGCATAATGCTTTGTGTGAACGTCTTATCTCCGTGCTAAATTCTCTGTTGCTGTTCTCTTGGGTCTTCAGGATACCGGATGTCAGCCCCTCAGCACTGTCCAGAAGATGTTTTTAAAATAATGCTAAAGTGTTGGGATTATAAACCTGAAAACCGCCCCAAGTTCACCGATCTTCAGAAAGAACTCACTGCCATCAAGAAGAAAATGTCATAGTGATGAAACAGTGCCAAATTCAGCGTTCAGCACTCTGTCTCCCGGCAGAGTGATATTGTTCTTCTCATTAACAATGAGTTCATACCACATTACCTGCAACAGTCTTCTAAGGTTATTTTTTTATTAACTGTTTGGGTTTTTTTGTAATATGTTCCACTTTTAAAAAGAGTCAAGGTAAATGCATTTAAAAAAAAAAAATAGTTCTACCAAGGGCTTTGTTAGCTAACCACAGCAATCCTGCCATTTCAGACCGTTGTAAATAGAAAAGCACAGGCTTTAAATGTGAGGGACAACAGATCCGTCTTTTTCACACCCAGGACTATTGATGTTTCTCAAAGGTTTTCTGCGTCAGGCACAGTTCACAGGCTGCCATCCTACTCCACAGACACCTAGTCTCTTGGTGCTATAACTGCATTGGTAATGCCATGCTTGCAGGGCACATTCCCACTAAAGTTGGCCTTCTTCTCTGCTGAGTCAAGGTAATATTTGTACACATCTTTTTATACTGGGAATTATTTGGACTACTTAGGGTTTTTCTTTTCTTTTTTGCCAAAAATAAGCCAGGTGTAAATGTCATCATACTCTGGCTTTATTAGGAGGGTGGTCGTTTCCCTCCTCCTTTGTCCAGGCAACTGCTCCTAAAGGATGCTATAGAGAGCTGTGACAGCAAGAAGCAAGTATGAACAGGAGGGTGTTCTGGAGAAAAGAGCAGCTAGAGTGGTGATCAAAGTAGAGAGGAAAAGGAAAATATAAAATCAGCCTTCTTACCAGAATTATGCCTTTATAAACACACACACATATTTATCTCTTATTTTATATTCTGAATTCACCAAAAACATCCTAAGAAATTTTCAGGAATTCATAGATAGAAACTTCTTAATGGCAGCAATTTTTTTTTTTTTTTCAGAGAAACTACAAAGCACAAGTCCACAAAAGTGGACTTCATTCTGGTTAAGCATCTTCACCTCAAAGGAGGCAATCCAAAATGTAGTTCCCTTTATTTGTACCAGTTTCTTGAACTGTCGGGATTTCATGATCTTAGTTCACAAACACTCATCTGTGTTCACACACACACACACACACACACACACACACACACACATACACACACACACACACACAACCAAGGAGCAAGGCAGGCGTGAATTAAGTAGATAATTAAGATATTGAGTGAACATTAATGAGGCAAAAAGCAATTATAAGGAGAAGGACATAGGGACAGCCATCCTATTTCCACCCTACCCATCATTCACCCTTATACCGCTACCCGGAAATTCTTACCATTAGCTGACAGGTATGCGAGCACAGTACCAGAGATGTTCAGTGTGGATAAAATGTAACACAGAGTTAAAACTAGGATTCTGTCGAGCTGAACGTTAGCTCCACCTGGGGAACGCACCCCACATTTTGTATATAGTTGCTTCTCGGGATAAATGTGTGTGTAGGAGATGGTCACGCTCAGGGGTAAATGTGGCCTGGGAGTCTTATAATTGCTTAGGCATGTGTCCAGATAAACAGCACCTTAGTGAAGATTTAGTCTACATTCATTAGAAGAGCTTAAGAGAGAGAAAGTTTCTCCTGTCCTCTCCAGCTGTTTGCTGCCTCTGAATGTCAGGGCATAGAACTCACACCCAGTACTTTAAAGAGTAAAAAAGATTATACTGAACAGAAAAATGGCTTGTGTTTATCATTTCAATCTACTTGCCAGTTTGGTACACATTTAATGATAACTGTATTCAGACTAAGAGCTCTGGTGGTGCAGTGGTTAAGCACTTGGCTGCTAAGCAGAAGGTCAGTGGTTCCAACCCACCAGCTGCTCTTCAGGTCAAAGATGTGGCGGTCGGCTTCCATAAAGATTTACAGCCTTGGAAACCCTACGGGGCAGTTCTACTCTTCTGTAGGGTCACCATGGGTCAGAAGCAACTTGCCATCAAAAATATTTTGTAACATACAAAGCAACTTCTTTTTAATCAGTATGGTTTTCCCTTCTACCAAACATTTATAAATAAATGAGAATTTCTTTTGATGACACGTACTGTGGTAAATCAAAGCATAGACTCCGGAGTTAAGTGCTGTAGTCTTCAGGCATTTGTCAACCTTCAAAAAAGTAAAACTAAGATGGAGATGTTTCCACCCCTTTGTCAGTATTTCCAAGTGAATCTTTCTATTTATAATATTATTTGTCTGTTTAAAGAAAACAGCCTCCCATCACTTAGCGGCCTCAGTGCTAAGCTCTCAGAAAGAAGAGAGAATGATGGTTTTGGCTTTAATTTTGTGAACAAGACCCAAAGCTTAATCCTTGCATTCTGGTGTAAAGGATGAACATGGCATTGATATTTCACTCATCCAGGCTGTTAGAATTTACAATTCACATCAAAACGCTGTGCTTAAATTAAAAAAGCTTTTCAAAACATTGTGACATCTGCAGCATTCAATTCTGTTTTATTCTTTGTCCCAAAGCAGACAGTGGTACAGTTCCAGATTAATAACTCATTGGGCATCTTTCAGGGTCATATCAGTTGTATAGAATGTTAAATTTAATACAGGTACATGCATTAAGAAAAAATTATACAAACCAATTTTTTTTTACTGTTAATTCTGTTGTGATTGAAGCATAATTTGTTTATCCCTTCTGTCACTAATAATTATTGGGATTATGTACTTTAGGAGGCTAATCCATACCCAGAAAGCACAAGTATAAATACTGTTCTGAATTTGCAAGTTGATCTAGGGAAAGGAGGCTTCCAAAATGCAGAAAATGCTGTGTGACTTGTTTAGTAAGAAAACTGTCATAACCAAAATTGCCACTGGTCTGGATGTAATTAAGTCAGGTCACAAATCTTTGTGTTGTTAATGGATTGTTCAAGAGTTGCATATATCACTTCTGTATAATTCCTTTCATAATTTCTTAAATTGGTGAGTACTAGGGGTACAGGACAGGCAGTCTGAGTCTGACCTGCATTTATCTACCTTCAATCACTAAGGAGCCTTTGTGAGAAATGTGTAGGTAGTTCATCATTTTTCAAGGAAAGAAATCTTTTAATGTCAAATTAACATTTATTACCAGCATGTGAAGCCTAAAACTAATTTTGTGTTCTGTGTTATCCAAGGTTATTTCCCAAAGCCAACATATTCTTTCTCTTCCAAGGAAATAATAAAGGATTAACAGGTTTTGTTTAAACTTTTAAAAACAGAGGCTTTATTTAAGTCATCTTGCTACTAGTCCCATGTGAAAGGACTCATATAATTGTTTCTCTTTTATGTCCCAAATTTAATATGAACAGCAAAGTTTCCCATCCACAATTCACATTTTATCACAATATTATTGAGCCATCTCACTAGCAGAACAGCACAGACCATGAGCCTGCTTGTGTTAGATATCATACAGTGCACATTTCACAACGGTTTTTCACTTTTAGGGTTATTTTTATTCAGTTTGAAAAGAAAATATTTAGTCATTGAAATCGTTTTAATTTCCTTTAAACCATGATATGATTTTCCTGTCTATATTATACTCATGTTTCAGTTTTGCCGTATGGTTTTATATAAAGTTTGGCTCATACCACTAAAATAACTGTTATTTCCCAACACTGTTATTAGACTGTTTCAAGAAGAAAGCATTTTAGTTATAATATATGCCTTACACTGAGGACTTTGTAGGGGATTAAACACAAAAATTGGAATGCAACAATACATGTCAGGATCGTATATTACTGTTATTCAGAATTATCTCGTTCATACCACTTTATAATTAATTCTTGTGAGTCATCAGATGTTCTAAGAGTATACCTCAAACCTTACTAAGTATAGCTCTGTGTACACTATTCTGTGGCCACATGTCCTTTGAAGTGGGATTAATTGCAGTGTTTTCTGAAAAGTTGTTTGCCTCAGCCCTCTTCTTTTATACACATATTCCCTTTATCACACGATTCAGATTTTAGATGTTTCTCATCAAAAGAATTGGTTGTCCATAAGCAGCGTTGCAAATCCTGGTGGCACAGTGGTTAAGAGTTTGGCTGCTAACCGAAAGGTCGGCAGTTCGAATACACCAGGCACTCCTTAGAAATCCTATGGGGCAGTTCTGCTCTATTCTATAGGGTCACTATGAGTCGGAATCGACTTGATGGCAAGGCAACGGGTTTGGGTTTTTTTTGGAAGCAGTGTTCTGAGTCATGAAAAGACTGACTTTTGCATTTAGGAGGGCAGAGGCCTTACACAAAACCGAACATAATACAAAATAAAAAGAGGAACAAAGGGACAGACACCTGAAAAAGACATGTCTTCTTGATATATTAATATCTTAATTAAATGGAGTCAAAAATTTTATATACAAATGAGTTTATATTACATTTACATTATACTATTGAGTTAGTATGAAAGTTTACCATTAAAATAAAGGTATTATGTCTTTTATTATTAACACTGATTTGATTATACATACCATAATTGTTTTATTAAACATTTAATTTTATTTATTTTCCTCTGTTTTGATTAGTTTCATAGCCAGTCTGAACACTACATCATTTGGGAGAATCCAGAACTGCATATTCATTTCCACAAAAGAAAACTTTGATTTTTAAAAAGTCACAATTCCAGTTACCAAGATTACCTTCTTGCAGAAGACATTGGTACCATGTTAGTGTACCATAAAATTCTCCTTTAAAAAATAATGCCATAATCCAAAAAGTGTATAAACTATATATCATAGCCATAATTCAATGTATGGAAATACTTAGTACTCCTTAAAAACCATCCTACTGCCGCATACTGATTCCAGGATTAAAATATGAATTGTTAAATATAGGCATTAAGAATCACTTAGCTGCTTAATATAATGGCTAACATTCTTCAGGGGTACAAAAATCCTGCTATAGTAAATTCTTAGTCACTTTGAACTGCACAGAAGTAATGAGCATAGGCTTCACTTTGTCTGTAATAAGATACACTGCACATGCAAAAGAGAGAAGAACCAGTTATTCTAAAGCAGCATAATGCAGCTCTACAGAAAGGGTGGCAAATTAAAGTGAAACAAAGGCTTGGGCAATGTCACTAGAAAGCCCAAGGAGAACAGTGACACAAGGCTGGATCCTTCCCTATAAAAAGAGTGAGATCACCGGCGGCAAAAAGAACGAGAGGCCACCTGCCAGTGTGTGGGCCTTAGCATGAGCAAACCCAATACCTCTCCTTTGCATTGTTGTTAGGTGCCATGGAGTCAGTTCTGACTCACAGCAACTCCATGTACAACAGAACAAAATACAGCCCGGTCCTGTGCCATCCTCACATTTGTTGTTAAGCTTGAGCCCATTGTTGCAGCTCCTGTGTGAATTCACCTCATTGAAGGTCTTCCTCTTTTTCACTGACCCTTTACTTTGCCAAGCATGATGTCCTTCTCCAGGGACTGGTTCCTCCTGATAACATGTCCGAAGTATGTGAGATGAAGTCTCGCCATCCTTGCTTCTTAGGAACATTCTGGCTATATTTCTTCCAAGACAGATTTGTTCATTCTTCTGGCAGTCCATGGTATATTCAATATTCTTCACTAACACCATAATTCAAAGGCATCAATTCTTGGGTCTTCCTTTATTCATTGTCCAACTTTCACATGCATATGAGGTGATTGAAAATACTATGACTTGGGTCAGGAGCACCTTAGTCGTCAAGATGACATCTTTGCTTTTTAACACTTTAAAGAGGTCTTTAGCAGCAGATTTGCCTGATGCAGTATGTCATTTGAGTTCTTGACCACAGCTTCCATGGGCATTAATTGTGGATCCTTGACAACTTGTCTTCTCTGTTTATCATGATGTTGCTTATTGGTCCAGTTATGAGGATTTTTTTTTCTTTATATTGAGGTATAATCTATACTGAAAGTCTGTAGTCTTTGATCTTCATCAGTAAGTGCTT